AAAGATGTTGTGTCCACCAAAAACTGAAAAATAAATATTTTTTAAAAATCTCTCTCATCTCTCTCTCTCATTTCTCTCTATCTTTTTTTAAAAGAAGATAATCCTCAAGGCATAACATTCTGAGGACTACAGAGCAGGTAGGGATAAGTTGAATCAGAGGTTGCAAAGAAAGGATAGCATTTTTTTCTATTTTTTTTTACAACAGCAACATTCTAAAAACAACAAGAGCCTGATAAGTTCTAATTTTCCTTTCTCTGAGTTTTTTTTACACATTCATACATTTATGTGATTTTATGGTGTAGTCATGATAAGTTTTGTGTTCTCCTAAGTATTGTGTTATAAGCATGTCCTTTTGCCGAACTGTTTTCATCATCATAATTCCCATCTGTCGTGAGTGTGATTACCTTTAGTATCTCCCATTATAAGATAGATAAGCTATTTCCAGCCTTTTCACAGTTAAAAATTCCTGGGATAGGGTATCTTTATGCATGTAACTCTTTTCTTCATTAGTATCATTTTGTTTAGCTCAGCTCTGCAAAGTAGGGTTGATGGGGGTCAAAGGGCATGAGTATTTCTACTTTTTAAAATATATATTATTCGGGCTGGGGATGTGGCTCAGTAGTAGAGTGCTCGCCTAGCACGTTTGAGGCCTTAAATTCAATCCTCAGCACCACATAAAAATAAATAAAATAAAGGTATTGTGTCCAACTACAACTTTAATAAAATGAAATATATATGGTGGAGAATCAATAGAATGTAGAGATATACAGAAAGAGGTTTATCATGAGGGGTTGGCTGTTCTGGAGAAGTCCCACAATCTGCCATCTGCAATCTGGAGGCCCAGGAAAGTTGATAGTATAGTTCCAATCTAAGTCCAGAGTCCAGAGTCCAGAGAACCAAGAGTGCTAGTGTCTGAGGGAAGACATGATGTCCCAGTTCAAGCAGAGAGCAAATTCACCCTTCTTCTCCCTTTTTTTTCCTAGCTGTGTTCTCAACAGCTTGGATGATGCCCACCTACCATAGTAAGGGTGGATCTTCCTTATTCAGTCTTCCAATTCAAATGCTCATCTCTTCTAGGAATACCTAACAGACACAACCATAAATAGTTTTACCAGCTCTCTGAGGGATTCCTTGGTCCAGTCAAATTAACACATAAAATTAACCATCCCAGCCCATTTACAATGTCACCAGCAATAGTTGTGTCTGTTTTGTCAAAACAATGTCAGCACTGGTGAGTTGGTTTGGGATTTTAACTAACCTGCTATAATGTCATAGCTATTCCATGATGCCTCCTTGTTATTTGAATTCACATTTCCCTGATAACTATTTTCCCATATCTTTCCTGGTTATACCTCTTAGGTAATTTGCCTGTTCAATGAGCAATATTTCCACTGGCAACAAACAGCCTAGTCAGGCATAGAGTTAGGACAGTACAGTGTATTAAAGAAAACAGATGTAGGTTATACAAAAAGATAATCAGTGGAGGTCAACTAGAAAGGAAAAATGGACACCAGTATGTGACAAAGTGTGTTTTTAACCCTATGGGATTTTCCTTTTTAGGGGGTGGCGGGGGAGTAGGTATTAGAGATTGAAACCAGGGGCACTCTGCCACTGAGCTATCCCCAGCGTAGCCTCAAAATAAATTTTTATTTTGATACAGGTTGTCATTAACTTTTCCAGGCTGGCCTTAAACTTGCAATGCTCCTGTCTAAGCCTCCCAAGTCACTGGGCCTACAGGTATGTGACACCACTCCTGGGCCCTATAGAGGTTTTCAGTTTAATTTGTACAATTGTCCTCATAGGAATAAACAACTGAAGTTCCCTGTCTCTTTTAACTCTGATGAACCTAAGGGATCTCAGTCAAGAAGAGCCAACTCCACGTGTCCCTGTCACTTCTAATATAAGTCCTTAACCCTCTTTCTTCTTCACCTGGAACCTGCTGATTCCTATGGCTTTTGCTCTGCCTGGCTCCTGCCCACTTGATCCACCTCTTCCCTCTTCAGCTTCACATTCCTGGAGTCCCTGTTCTATCCTACTGATGTGGACTCTGTCCACCTGATCCAGCCCAGGGCCCAGTGATTCTGGGTATTAGATCCCCAGGTTCTGCACTCTTCCTGGGTTCCTTTGGGGATGTGTTCCGTCTTCCAGGAGGGTTAAAAACTATGAGCACCTTAGAGGAGTACTCAGTATCTTTTCTCCTCTACCAGGAAACAGCAAGATAGTCTGAAGCAGACCACAGAGGAGAGGGTATGTTGCCCTTTGAGAAAACACCTCATCTTAATTCCTAAGCTCTACTAAGCCTGAAGTGCTTCCTGCCCCACAGAACTGATGGGCCTTCTGAAGAATCCTTCCCAACCCCAGCATTTCCTAGCCATAGTCTCATGTGCTGCTAAAAGAAGCAAAAGCTGACAAACAGCACTTTTTCCTTTCCCATAACGAGAACATTGAACATCAGGCTCCAAGCTCTCAGATATACCCATGTACTCAGGGCTGTTCTGTCCAACCAGATCCGCAGACCAGAGATCCCTTTCAGACATCTGTGGCTCAAACCACAAGTCTCCTACTGCCCACCTGGGTGAGGAACAACCATTCCTCCAGGGCAGGCAGAGGAGAGGCCAACCCTGTGCCCACAGAGTACAGGCACAACAGCCTCCCCATTAGTGGGGTCTTGATGGAAAGGGCTGCACCCAGGGGTTTGGGGTTGAGGCATGAGCTTGGCCACACTTTGTTTTCCTGAAAGCATCTGTGGCTTTCACCCTCGTTAGAGGTCTTGCTGAAGGTGGTATCACTGAATCCCAGTGGCCACTGATGAGCTGCTTCCTGAGAGCACAGTGCTCTGCCCTACCCACAAAGCCAATGTCATTCCCTCTAAATGCTCTCAAAATGGGAGATGGGGAAAATGTGTGTGTGGGGGGGTGGCTCTGGGTGCTCTGTGTGGACAAGCACCACTCTGTCTCCATAGCAGGACAATGTGAACTCATGTCTGTGGCAGCCTTTTGCAAACAGCAGAGAAAGAGCTATACACGTGTAAGAGATGATGACTGGGACTTCTAGCACTAGCCACATCCCTTACAGCCTCCCTGGTGTTGGAGTACTATCCACAGATAACATGTTTTGATATTTAAGCAGATTGCCTGGCTCATCCTCTTGGTTTCTCAGCCCTTCCTTTTTTTTCAGACAAAACTGTATTAAATCACGTCCTCATCAAACTGAATAGATACCCCAGCCAGGGTCTGGCATGGGCTGTGACAATGATGCCATTCAGATTCTCAGTGCATCCTTACATTTGCCTCATGCGCACCCTAAAGAGAATTTGGCAGCTCTAAAATAGAAAAAAAAAAAAAAAAGCTTTTGATCCTGGACTACAGTTGGCTCTCTTATTGTGGGAGGGCAATTATTAACTTGTTTTAACTTGACATTTAAAAACATCTCAGTATCTGTTTTTTATTAACTATATCACACTAGACAGTTCAGGACAAGTGGAGGCAAAAGCTAAGCTTTGAACATTATCTTAGGGACCAGCTGGAGGAAAATAAGAAAAGAACAATCCCATCAACATGTATTAAGTGCCTCCCTCCACTAGACACTGCACATTCTCATTCTCACAATAACATGAGGACCTATTATCACCATTTTAAAAACAGATACTTTGGTTTATGGAATCACCAATATTTTATTTAAATTTTAAGATGAAATAGAAACTAAACTTTATCAATGCAATAGTTTGGGAGACACATCTCCCCACCAAAACAGAAACTCTAGCAAATGTCTTGACTTCACAATTCTTATATTTTCTCTGGATACTTCCCATCTGTTTTTCCATTTGCAGGAGGTCGGCCAAGGATTTAAATGGGCACTCCCTGGCCCACAGCTCCTAATGCTTCCCTGTATACCCCTGGTTCTTATTTCTGGTTCTTATTACAAAGAACCTTGAATGCATGTGTGCCTGACAACCTTGTCCAAGCTTCATTCATGTGTCCCCACCATCAAAGGACTGTCTTTGGCTACCTCTTGAAAGTGTGCAAATCAGATGCACGGCCCACCTTGGGGAGGATGAATTTAGGGAAGACTTCATAAAAAGCCCTGGAAGGGGTTTGGAACCCTGAAAGCCAAGAATTCAAGAGCCCCGGGGTCCTAAAGTTTGATCTCTCCTTGACTCTTCCTAGGCTGCTTGTTCTCACTCCATGAGGAGGGACCCAGCTAGAGGAAGACCTGAGTAGAGGATCCTATAAAGCAGAGGAAACAAGACAAGGCCATCAATTGCCCTGATCTAAGGGCGATGCAGCCTCTGTGTTTATTCCTGCCTGTCAATGCCATATCAGCTGGGAAGTTCAGGGCAGAAGATTTGCTTACCCTGGGCCCAGAGTTCATCCTTGGGTCAGTAAAGGATCTCAAAGTGGAATTCAGAAGACCCAATGCCTTCTCCACTTTAAAAAAAAAAAGAAAAGAAAAAACTTTCCTCTAATACTAAAACCTTGTCTGTTATATGTTTTGTTCAAGAAAAAAAAAAGTTACCCTAAGACTGGAATGCCTCCATTTTTACTCCATAGGCAACATTCAGTTGGAAAATATCAAAGCAACTTAGAACAGACAAATCAGGAATCAGAAAGTCTCTCTGTGTTCAGGGGTTGGAGAGAGAGAGAGAGAGAGAGAGAGAGAGAGAGAGAGAGAGAGAGAGAAATGATGTTGAGGTCAGATGTCCCTGCTGTCAGTCCCTTCCTCTGAGGATGCAGCCTCCCTCCCTGGGGAAGGCAGAACGTGGACTGCTTCATGCAGGGGCAAGGTGAGCTCCAGGTGTGCGATATCAAAGACCCGAATGAACAAATCAGATATTGGGCTTCTAAGGTCCAGACTTTCCAAGAGAAAATAAGCCCTGGCATTTTCAGGAGATCCAACATGCAGACATGGCAGGGAGTTAAGAGTTTTCTAAACCTAGCCGCCTCAAAGCAGTGAGCCAAACCTGTCAGTGAGAAAATGAGGACGGAGTTTCAAAAAGAGAAGGGAAACTCATTTAAACTAGCCACAGGCAATCGTGTTTGATGCTAGATGTGTGCTTTCTAAGAAGTCTGTGCATCCATGCTAAATAGGAGGAAAGTACTTGATTCAGGGCTTCTCAAAGGTTTCTAATGAAGGACCTCTAATGACAGAGCCCAGGACCTTACACTGAGGAGCCTGGGGTTATGGTGCTCAAAGTTACCCTGAAAAAATGGATAAATTCTTCCAAGTTTTGCATTTTTTTTTCAAAGTGTAAGTAGTTGTGCATTTGCTTCCATTAAAATCCTCATTTGATGAAAAGCTTAGGGTTGCAGAGTCATTCGGGTCATTAGGTGTGAAGCTTCTGCTTAGAAAGGGAAGTCTGAAGCAGGGAAGTGAGCCAAATTCTGGCCAGATATGGTGACTGATGAATCGTCTAAAAGACTAGCAATTGCTGGTGTCGGATGGGAAAGTTTCTGCTTTTGAGCTGTAACTCAAAAGGTTTGTTTGCCTCAAGCCTCAGCCAGGTCTTGTACCCCTGCTGGCCTTGTCTGAGAAGTGCCCTGGAGTCAGAGAGGACTGAGTCTACCCTTGTGGGAAAAGGGAAAGAATTTTCTAGAAGCCCAGCAGTGACCAACAGGAAGGAAGAGACCATCACCTGGCAAACAAGCTACACATCACCTGAAATAGAAACCTGGCACCCAGAAGCCTGAGAAGGAGGCAAAGCTTTTATAGTTAGGTGAGATGGGAGAGTGGTGCATGTTCTAGAATTTGGATCTTGAATGTCCCCCAAAGACCCACTCAGTCTCCTAAAGTGGCGCCACCATGAAGTGGTGGAGTATTTAGGAGGCAGGGCCTAGAGGAAGGAAGTTAGGTGGTTGGAGGCGTGCCTTTAAAGGAGTTATTGAGACCTCAGTCCCTTCTTTCTTCCTCTTCCCAGCCACCATGAGGAGAGCAGCTTCACTCTACCACATGCTCCCTGCCATGAAACCTTACCACAGTTCTGAAAGCAACAGAGCCAAGGGACTATGGACTGAAATCTCTGGTCATGAGCCAAAATAAACTTTTCCTCCTTTTAAGTTAATTATCTCAGGTATTTTGTTAAAGTGACAAAAATCTGACTAACATATATCAAGGCTGTCATCAGTACATAGGGTGCTGTCACGCAAACTACCAAAAAAGGGGGCCCCTCTGAGCACTCCTCCCCCCAGTACTACACCTGTTACTTGGCTGCTTTCAACACCCACTTATCACCTTGCTTATGTGCCTGCACATATTGCACAAAATGTAATTATAGAACAGTACTGGTTGAATGTTAAAGAAAAGGTTGATCCTTAAGAGAACTTGTAAACACTTGGGTTCCAAAAATAACATTTCCCATAAACCTAATAAAATTTGTGCTGTAGCTCAAGGAGTCAGCAAGCTCCAGCCAGTAGACTATATCCAGCTTAGCACCTGGCTTCATATATAAAGTTTTATTGGTATGCAGCTGTGCTCATTCACTTAGATATTGTTGTGGCTGCTTTCCCACTGCCATGGCCATGGTGCATATAGGTGCTACAGAAACCATCAAACCTGCAAAGGCTAAGATTTTTAGCTTCTGTCCCCTTATAAAAAGTTTTCCAGGGGCTGGAATTGTGGCTCAGCAGTAGAGCACTCGCCTAGGATTGCAGGACCCGGGTTTGATTCTCAGCTCCACATAAAAATAAAGGCATTGTATTGTGTCCATCTACAAAAAAAAAAAAAAAAAAAAAAAAAAAAAAAAAAAAAAAAAGATTCATTTTCTCTCTCTCTCTCTCTCTCAAAAAAAAAAAAAAAGTTTGCCAACCCTGCTCTAGAGAAAGATACGTTATTTTCCTGTGGCTTTTGCATACCTGTTGGCCCACTGCTGAGTGCCTCTAGAAAATAAAAGAGCAATAATCCAGTTTGAAAAGCCCAGTCTCTACCTATTACATGTAGAGGGCCTATCCTCCTCCAGTCTGACCCCATTTTTAATTACATCTGCAAACAAATCACATCTTACTAAAACTATTTTTAAGAAGTGACTTGAGCAGATCTCAAGATTACCCAGTAGAGCTCCCTTACATTAATGAAGCACTTTATAGCATAAAACATCTTCTTCTCATTCCCCACTGCAAGTTTTGTAACAAACACAAACAAATGTCTAGGGCTGCCACAAACAAACGTCTGGGGCTACTAAAAACCGGGAGAGACAAGAAAGGATCCTCCCCTACAAGCTCCCAAGGAATCTTGTCTCTGCCAGTACTTTGATTTTTATCTTTTGACCTACAGAATGCAGCACATCATGAGCTATATCCCTCGCTCTTTTTATTTTTTACTTTGAGAGGGGGTCTCACAGAGTTGCCAAGGGGGATCTCGAATTTACAATCTTCTTGCCTCTGCCTCCAGAGTAGCTGGGATTACACATGTGTACCATCACACTTGGTTTATTAACTTTTTTTAAAGATGAATTTAAAGTGTTTTGAAGACAGTACAATATTAGTCACCTTTGCGTCATCATAACAAAATAATGGATATGACTATGAAATGAAGAGAATATAATTTTTGCTCACATTTCTAGAGGTTCGATCCAAATCAGGCAGCACCATTGCTTTGGGACTTTGATCATGGCAGGGGTATGTGTCAGAGCAAGCCATCCCATTCCAAGCCCGGAACAGAGGGAGATGGAGAGACCAAAGTCTCACAATCCCCTTCAAGGACACACATCCAAGGACCTAAGGACTTCCCACTAGGCTCCACCTCTTTAAGGTCCACAGTGCCTCTCTGAAGACCAAGACTTTATAGAAGGATATTTGGAGAGCAATTACCAAATCACAGCAAAGCCCAGGAGGGCCTAAGTCTCCAAGAAGGACAAGATGGGTGCAGAAGGACTTGTGTAGACTCAGCCTGATGATCAGACAACAGATGAGGAATGTGGATGTTCCAGAAGCTGCCAGCATATTCTGGACCAAAGGCTAGTCAAGATGGTTTATATTTTAGGGAATAAAAAGAGCAGGAGTCTGTCTTCCTATGGAAATGACAATTAGGCAATCATAGGCTGAGAACTCTCCAGGGAGGTACAAAGGAAGGACTGACTTGAACAAACTTAAAACTGAAATGACTAGGAAATACATTCAAATGCCTAGATCTGCCTGGAATTGACTATTTTGTTGCTGCTGCTGTTGTTGTTGTTATTTGAATCTAGCCAGGAGTCAAAATAGGAGTTCAATGTTTAAATTATGGCCTAGTGGGGTGGTGCACACCTGAAATTCAAGCTACCTGGGAGGCTGAGGCTGGAGGATCACAAGCTGAAGGCTGGCTTTAGCAACTTAGTGAGACTCTGCCTCAAAATAAAGAAATAAAAAGGGCTGGGGGTGTCTTTCAGTGATGAAAGACCTTGGACTTAATCTCCAATACTGAAAAAAAAAGTTAAATTACAGGAAAAAAATTAGATTTAGGGGGCAAATACCCAAGGTTATAACCTGGGAAATATTACACTCCAACATAAAAGGTTTGGCTTAGTCCTCTCAACCACATCTACAAGATCAGTATCATCCCCATTTTACAAAAGGGAAAATCAAGATCTAGAGAATTTCAATGACTTACTATTATACAACTTCTCAGTGCTAGAGCTGGGATTTAAATCTAGATGCATCTAGACTCCAAAGCTGATGTTTCTTCAAGACTCCAAATTCCCTTTTGATCAGGGTTTGTTTCAGCATTTTTAGAGAAGTCCACACATCAATGATTGGTTTTTCAGGACCAGATTATGCTCCTGGATTGGGAATAACAGACAGAAAGGGGAGAAATTGGAGAAATTTAAAGAATCTCTGTCTCCCTTCTGAAAGTAGGGCCTCTTTTCTAACTGGTTCCCTCTCCCTTCAACATGATCTCCCACTCCACCCTTATTCCAGCCAACCTGGGTTTGGGGGGACCTGATTCAAAATGGTTTGAGTTGACAGGATGGCCACACTTCATGCAACAGGTTGTCTGTTGTTGCCAGAATGTGCTGAAGAGACGATGATGATCTGGATGTGCCTCAATGGTAATTTTTCTTGAAGGTGAATGACAGATAAGGTCTTAGTCATTCTCCTAATTTATGATGGATTATATCATTTCTTTATATCTCAACCTTCTATGCTTGAGTCACTCAGACATGTCTCCAGGACTGGATTCAAAAGCAAGTCTCCTCTTAGTCACAGGCTGTTCTCTCAGTTTGACTTCAAATCCAAAGGTTCTGCTCCTGATCAGTTCTATGGCAAAAATGTATAGATGGCTTATAGAAAATAAAAAGGATGACTGAGACCATGGAAACTGGATATCTTTGACCTAATTATGGTTATTAATAGGAGAACTTTGTGTTTGCCAAACATTTCCTTTCCCTCATTCTCCAGAGATCATCTTCTCTGTCTCCATGTTTTGGTCTATTATCTTACCCTGCATGAGCCTTAACTCATTGTCACTTGCCCCATTCCTGTACCTTCTGTTCCAAATGAATGGATCTACATGGCCTGATTATCTATATTTTTGTTCTATTAGTTCTTTAGAGAGGAATTTTAAAATCTCAAACTATAAT